TGAGGTTGATTATGATGTAATAGCTACTCATTGATACCTTTTAGAGATTTATTAGGTGAAATATGTCAGTCAAATTCTTCTCACGAGGAAGGATCTAAAATGGCATTTGGGGACATAGGAAATACTTCGACAAGAGCAGATAAACCTTCTTTCCCTTTATATCACTATGTTTCTAAACTGCTGCAGTTTCTTTGTTACAAGAAATTGGCCCAAATGTGGGCCTGAGTGGCTGAACAATCACCCCTTCTGCTTCCTTATCTTCTTTGCTTTTGAGAAAGCTCTCTCTGTCCTTTGTCACCTGGAGAGTTTTATGTCTGCCTTTGCGGAAGAGTCAATAAGGAAACAAACAGCGGCAACAGTAAGTAATTTGTCACACAGAACAGGAGTGTCGGGGGATGTAGCTAGATCAATGGGGAGCATCTTGGAGGCCCTTTGTATTTCAATTGCCACCAGGTTTTTTGGTTTTGTTTGTTTGTTTTGCAAAATAAAAACCCTCCTGCAAAATTGTGCAATGGAGGCAGATGTCAAGCCTTTGTCTAGAAATCTCAGTTCCATTGCCAAACTGTTTTTCCAGTTGAAAAATTCCTGGACGTGTTTATGAAGTCACTAAGAACTCAATTCAAAGGAATTTTTTTTGTTTAGTTTTCTGAAAGGTTTTGAAAGCTTATTTTACCTGTCTGGGAGTATTGATTCTCTGTTGGTATCATCATTGAGCGGCTCTTGTTTTTTGTTAAAAAAAAAAAAAAGTTGGATGGAGATGTCGGAAATCTGGCAAAAAAAAGTTGTGGAAGTCCAAATACTAGTGATGGGCAGGTTTATGGGGAGTGATATTGTGGATAATGCTCTTGTGTACATTATGCGAGGACAGCCAGTTTGGTCTGTGGTACTCCAACATCAGCTCAACAGCTTCACCTCAGGGGTTCTTGGTGCTTTCTGAGCTTGGTTGTTTTCTTGAAGATGGACGTTTCAATACCCAGTCTTGGTTACTTCATCAGCACTTCATCTTCATTTCAACCCTGAGCTACAAAAATTCTCCTTTATTAGCTTCATTTCACCATCAACCTTACTTCAGACTGTATACTCAACAAGCCCACTTCTTTGATGTCACAGTAGAACTACATAATGGATGCACAAACATCACATTATAAGGTGTGAGCTACATCCCAGGAGATCCTGAGTTCTGTCTTGCACCCAAACTTGAATAGGTGACTTTGGAGCAGTTATCTCTCTCCTCTCCTCTCCTCTCCTCTCCTCTCCTCTCCTCTTCTCCTCTCTCTGTCCTCCACCCCCTCAGCTTACCTCACAATCTTGGGGAGAAAGTAGGAGATTGGAGAATAATGTATGTCATATTGAGGTGTACAAGAAAACCGTAGAATAAAAATCAATTAAGTTGTTTCCTGGATATGTCACTCAAATTAAGCAAGCGTATTGTGTGAGTTATCCTGATCTGTGTTGTTACTAGTGATTGATATGTACACTGATGTTTACTATCCAATGGATATGATTAAATAAGACCTCCCTGCTCAAAGATGATGAAAACAAAGCTTTGGGAATTGCTACTTAGCCAGAAAGAAATATCAATAGCACTTAGACTTATATACCGCTTCACAGTGCTTTTACACTCCTCTCTAAGCGGTTTACAGTCTATTGCCCCCAACAATCTGGGTCCTCATTTTACCCACCTCAGAAGGATGGAATGCTGAGTTGACCTTGAGCCTGGTGAGATTCAAACTGCCAAATTGCAGGCAGCTGGCAGGCAGCAGAAGTAGCTTGCAGTACTACACTCTAACCACTGCACCACTGCAGCTCAATAGATCGTTCAGTATTTGTCCTTGCAAGAGAAAAAACATTTTTTTCAACATCTCTTATTTTTACCCACTTCCCTTCTTCCTTCCTTGTTTTTTTTTTTTTCCAGCTAGAAAAGTCAGTGGTTAGAGAGATGGCATGCTTTGGTGACGAAGGAAGTCAACGGTATTGTGAAGTGACATTTCCTTATTTTTTTTAACAGTGCTACCGCCACACTATTTTTCATTTCTACCAACGTGTGTCTGATTTATATTCATATCCATGTTCATTAAGGGGGAAGAGGGATCAGTCTTTGGAAACAGCAGCTTCCAAAGAACATTGCAGTATGAAGAATAAAGCGTCATTATTTATTTTTTACATGTCCATTGTAAATCAGTTGTGTTGGCTGTGCTCTGGAAGCTATTCAGTTCCGTTTTCCTCTTCATTTCTGTGTCAAATTTATTCCATCAGGTTAGTCGGCTTTCCTTTATATCCCACGCCGGCAAGAGAGGGCCGCTCTTATGAACAACGTGGCATATTTCTTCTCACATTTTTCCATTGTTTTGTTGAGCATTGGCACATTGATAGAAATTGGGCTTTTCCTTTCATGTATTTAATTTAGGAATCGGAATAGTTTCCAGGGGGTTTCTTAAGTTGTCTGCCTTAAAAAGTCTCCAAATACAAGACAATAATTCTTCATCGCTGGGTTCATTCAACTCTGTTGCATGCAGGACGAAACCCATGTTGGTTTTGTTCTTAAGAATGAGAATTACCTGCAAATCAACTCTGAAGTATTTAAGTACACAAAGGTTTTGGAATGGAATATTGAATGTTACTGATTATTACTGTAAGGATAAATAATCCTGTATTTGTAATCCAGAGGAGTTTTGCAAAGAAAGAGTGAGAGGAATCCTCAAACAAGAAAGACATTTAGCAGACTATAAAGAGACTGGAAAAAACTTGTTTGATAATATTATCAAACTTGGAACTTATTTTACCAGTGGTTGCAAAAAAGGGGTGGAGAGTAAGAAAGTCATTTGTATTGATAAGCAAATTAAATAGCCAGACAACACAATGTTTATTAAGCACTAAGAAATGAAATTAATAAAAAAGTTAATAACATTTAGAAAGTATTGTTTCTGTTGAAGTAGGCATTATAAAGTACTGACTGAAAGTGTATCTTAACTTTAGTACCAGCCATATTTATTATTTTCTTAGTTTCAATTTGTAAACAGTTGCTCATAGGTGGAAAGGATGCATTTGTATATGTAGGAAAAATTAGTATCTATTAACCCCTTGAGGTAGTTTAGACAAGGAGCACAACCATAAATAATAACTCTACCTTTTACTATAAAGTTACATTAACAAAACTTTGCGAATCTGAAAGCACTCCTGCCCCTCACATCTACTCTCCCAAAAACTAGGGTGAAACTATTCTGAAATTATTTCTCTATTGTTTCTACTTCAGGCTCATAGTTTTATCCAGTTGCCTAGGCTGCAGTTCTTCCTCTTGCCTTCCATTTCCACATATAATTATAATATCATAAAAGCATTCTGCCAATGTCCGTTCACTCAGAGATTCACTCGAATACTATTTGACCATGGAAGTGTAAACTTTTGCATGCAACTGTTGATTGAGATTGAGTGGAAGAGTTAGGAAAAGTATGATTTATCTTCTCAGTGTCTTGTGTGTCTTAGACTGGATAGCCAACTGTTCATTCCAGTGCTTTGTGCAACTTTGTTGGCTGGGGAAAAAAATAATTTGTGGACCTGAACTATCAGTCAACCATAGATCTGAATCTAGCACGGATGCATTTGTGTATGTTTCTATCTGTGCTATAAACAGATTGATTTTTTTTCAATCCTTCTCCATTTTGTTAGAATAATGGAGGTTAAAAAAATACTCACAATGGAAGCTATAACAACATGACAACTGTCCTTTTTTACATGTGTCATGCATGGCTTGGTTATTCTACTGGAATGGGGCACTTAAGAAAGTATAGAGCAGAACATGCATTGAGCATGGATAGAAAATCACCATCGCCACTTTAATAGCATCACACAGGTTGCTACCTACTTGCTAAAGAACAAAGGTTACTAATCTCTTTTTCTCCTTCTTTCTGCATTGGAAAAAACTAATGAAGCATTTATTAAATTTGAAATGGAAGAATGAAAAGGTAGACTTAATTGTTCCCTTAATAAAAATGTTAACCTTTATTTGCCTTTGCATTGTTCTTGATGTTTAACTTCTGTATAAAATTGCTTCCTTCCACATCAGGTGACAATTATGCAATTTGTAACTAAAATTGTTATGAAGGTCAAGTAGATCTTGGGTTAATTTTCAAGCCCTCTTCAGTTTTTGTTTTCTGTTTTAAAAAAAAAACAGTATGTTCATTGTGCTGCAATCATGGCATTTGGAGAAATATATTTTTTGTTTTCTGCTTAAGGTTAGTTCACTAAACACAAAAGTGTAGTAATACACAAGCAACAGCATAGAAGTTCCCACATACAGTCACACACACACACACACACACACACACAGAGAGAGAGAGAGAGAGAGAGAGAGAGAGAGAGATTATGTAAACTACTACTCAGACATTTTTGTTTAAATGTTGTTAGGAGGTTTAGATTCTTACATTTTAACTATATACCCATTATGACTTTTCATATAAGTTTATCAGACTATTCTTAATGCATCTCCAGAATAGCAAAGAGACAGTTTTATTAGATTAGGAGTTATGTAGCATCTCAGAACTATATTTGCAATATATGTGTCATGCTCATGCCATTCCAAGGATGCCTTATGTTAATAATTTATGTTTTATTGGGATTTATTCTGGGTAGAATTATTTGGTTTGTGTGAGCTCACTCCTTTATCGTATTTTTACAATTCTGCATTTGCTGAATCCTAAAAACAGGATCCCGTCAGAATTATATCTCCGATTTCATGGACACTTTTCGCTCACAAATGTTCCATATCATTTCTAATAGGATATAATGCTAACTAATTTATTTGCTTCAAAACTTCAGCATCCTAGTCACAGATTGCTCAAGATTAGGATTTCTTTCAGCAACCAGTACACGAGCGAACTCGAATCGAGCAATTTTAAGCTTGCTAAAATATGGAACCTTTTTCTATCAAATATTGGTAAAACAGAAGTTAGAGAACAGGTGGGTTGTGTTATTCATTCAAGCTTCCTTAACCACAAGAACACAGTTTTGCCAAGAGTGCCAGAGAACAATACGAAAAGTTATCAAACATGCATAACAACATGATAAAGCTGTATGATAATTTGGGAGACTATTATGCTTTTGATTCCAAATCTGTGACTGTTGAGGAATTCTTTGGAGATCTAAGTACATTCCGGACATTATTTCTGGTAAGTAGAGATTCATCACTCCTATGCTGATAAATAAATATATTTGCACATGCTTCTTCCTAGGATATTGCCCAGAATTTGTCTTAACAAATTTTGTTGATTAGCATCTCTTTCAAATCCTTGAAGGAGATGGATCACTAAAATACACACTGCATATTCAGCTTGTTATTCAGTGTTCTGCTTTATTCCATCCTTTTTCTGCCTTGAGATCTGGAATTTATGTATAATTATTTGTTACATTTCAATGTATTTATTGGTGAAAATGTGCTGTGAAATATTTATGGAAAATAGTTTTTTATTGTGTAGAATCTATGCAAGAATCCTGTGATAGGGAAGTGGTGGTGGATTAATCAGTTATATCTTCTCAGACCTATTTAAAGTATGAGCACGTTTAATTGGGATTTAATTGATTTCAGTAGGATTTGGGTATTGATGGCTTTTCTCCACATTTTTTTTCACTTGCATATGAAATTTGCAAACCCCTAGATATTCTGAGTGGCAAAAGCAACCACAACCACAAAAAAGCAGTTATTTGTAATCCCAGCATATACTGTTCAGTTGAGAGGTATTTAATTTTCAGGAATGAATTTTCAGGAATAGTTAAGCTGGAGCAAATAACTACTTGCAGAATTTAAAGCACTCTCCCTCTTTTAGGGGGATTACTCCAGTTAACAATTTTCATTAATTATTATCCCTTCCAGCTCTTGGTAATCATGATATATCTAAGGCTATTCATAATATTCTTAACTCTTAGAAATAGCTTTTAATGGAAGAGGTGCCTCTAAGAGATAGAGTGTGAGGAATGTTATTTTTCCCTCACTTAATGTGGTTCATAAAACATCCAACAATGAGTTGACTTTTGTAATGTTCAAAGAAGCTCAAGAATCACACAATAGCTTTGTTTAGTAACTTTTGACCCTGTTTTCTACTCTAACAGCAAAGCAGAATGCAAGAGAAAATAGTTGAGGCATCCAGGACATATTTATAGAATGAAAGGATAGTTTTCCAAAAGATATAGTGACCATTGTTCTCAGATTTGGAAACCATATTTTATTTAGAAGCTTCAAAGCTGATACATTTTAATGGGAATTTGGGAGGGAAGGATTTCATAGAGATGTGGAACATTAGACTCAACAACATTATTCTCATAAAGTCAAGGACAAGTTACCCTGCACCTGGAGAGGAGTGTCTGGAGGAATGTCTCCAGTTGGGCACAATGGTTGATTGGACCATGTGATGGACTGGATGGGTTTTTGAATTTTCAATTGGGAAGGAAAAACCCTGGAACTCTCAGATTTGGGTTTTCCCAGATGTGCCAAATATGGCTTCTTTAATAAATTCTTACTTGGGTGAACTTTGTTTCTGAGTGCTGAATGAAATGGGGAGTTGCATTTGGACACTGACAATTGTTTTTCTTTGCTCAATAGGTCAAATATTTCCCACTTTTCAAAGAGGAAAAGAAGGACTGTCTTAAAATCCTAGAGCAGGTGTGTCAAACTCGTGGCCCGCAGACTGGATGCATCACGCGCTGGCCACGCCCGCCCCCGGTTTAGCGAAGGGGGAAAAAGTTGTGACACCTCACATGATGACAACGTGTCGTTGCGAGTTTGACACCACTGTCCTAGAGTACAGATAGAACTAGAATTTTGAGTTATTCATAAAAGGCTGGAATAATGTACTCTTTCTTGAAGCTATAGCTTGATTTCATAAGCCAGTCTAAGTAGTGATGACAAATGTATTAAAGGAAACACACAACAAAAAGTGAGTTATGACTGTTTTCACCCTTAGCAACCGTGGCAGCATTCCCCCTCCCCCGGGGGCATGTGATCGAAATTCAGACGCTTGGAAATTGTCTCATATTGATGACAGTTGCAACGTTCTGGGCTCACGTGATCAACCTTTGCAACCTTCTTATAAGTAAAGTCAATGGGGAAACCAGATCCATTTAACGACCGTATTATTAACTTCACAACTGCGGCAGTTCACTTAACAACCATGGCAAAAAAAAAAGTTGCAAACTGGGGAGAATTCACTGAACAAATGCTTCGCTGAACAACAGAAATCTTAGACTCAATTATGGTGGCACGTCCAGGATGTTATTGTGATGAGCTAAGATAACAGGCCCCTTGTTGGTGAAATTAATCCATTAGTACAGGGGTGCCAAACTCAAAGCCCGCGGGCTGGATCCAGCCTGTAGGGTGCTTAAATCTAGCCCACGGAGCCGGCCTGGAAATAGCAAAGGTCCCCACCTTTTAAGGTTTAATCACAATTATGTTCCTTTACAGATAAAAGGCTGCTTTCCAACAATTAGCTCTGACAAGAAAGAGCCTTGCCAAGTTGTTTGTCAAGGCTGCCAAAAACCCAGAGATAAGAACTAACTTACAAAATTCTCCAAACATGAACTAAGATGTCCACCAGTTGAGTTTCAGAGATTCTTTGCTTTCTGCAAAAAACGCTTTTTTCAAACCTGGCTTTTATCCTCTTGAGGGAGGGGGCATACTCCCGAGTCGCCTGTGCTGCTATAATTGTTCTTTCCTCCGAGTAATCCTTCATGCACGTGCACTTGGCACAGGCTCCTCGGGAATCTCCTCGTCACTGCTGCCAGCCTCCACAATCTCTGAAGGCAGCAGTCCACTCCCTGATGGTCCTGGCCCCTCACCTGAGTCATCGCTCTCCTCAGCCGTCTGCACCTGCTGCCGGCTAACCCCAACACCTGTCTCTCCCCCACTCCCGTCCTGTCCCATCCCAGCCCACGGAGGGGAACTACAATGCTTATCCAGCCCTCGAAAAAATCCAGTTTCACACCCCTGCTTTAGTAGAAGCCTGTGACACAACAAAGCAAAAGAACGCATCCTGCAAATCCTAGGTTCTTCCTTTTATCCCACACCCTAGTCAGAATTCTAAGATTTAATCTGGACCTATTAGGTAGGTTTCCACACCCCATCTCCTTGTTTTGCTTCCTTCCTCTTTAAATTGGGTTCTTGCAGATGTTGTTCTCACCGGCTGCCTCTGGGTTTGTTGTAATTAACTGCCTCATAAGGAAGGGGTGGAAAAAGACATATGCTCCAGAATACGATGCTTGCCTTGAGGGACTATTCAAACTGCCTGGAATTATCAGGCCTGCTCAGCGACTTGCCGTCGCTTTTAGCACACAGAAGCCTACTGCCGGCAGCAAGCTTTAATCTGTTGAGTAACTATCAACAGTTGGTGTGCACCACAAAACAGTTCCCAACTTTACTACATTCATTTTTAATTTTATTGTTGATTCCTAAATAACAGCAGTAATTTAGAGAGAGGGAGGGAGGGAGAGAGAGAGAGGGGAAGCTAATATTTTAAACAGTCAATTTAAATCTACTGTTTCTATGTGTATTTTTTTTTTTGCAGGTCTGTAATAATAATATGAATGTATTGGTGAGGAATACAGTAGGTTTACTTGTTTACCTGCTTATGATCAGCTACATAACTAAACCGACATCAAAGTTGTGATGGTAAAGATTTCTGTAAGCCAATGATACAAAGAGGTGGTATACGTCTACAAACCAGATTAATTCTCCTTACCAGCTTGTTACCTGTTCTGGCCCACCAGCAGACTCGGTGGGCCACAGACCTAGTGGCAGATTTGGATAGTGAGGATGTTGGGAAGGAACATGGGCCACTCCTGGAGTCGGGGGAAGGCTCTGACGAGGGCTCTGCGACAGAGGCAGAGATGGCGCCAGGTCAGTCTGACAGTTATCAGCTGCCTTTGGAATCAGAGATCAGTGAGGCAGAAGAACAGCTGGAGCCTGTTCCCAGTGTGTGCATGTGCAGAGCTGCTAGGAGAAGGGAACAGTTAAGGAACAAGGGTCAACTCGGGAGTAAGGGCACAGGTGAACAGTGAATGGCCCCTCCCATAGGGAATAAAGAGGAGTGAAAGGGGAGTGGTGTTTGCAGGAGACAATTAGTTCAGTTCATTAGGGTGAAGATCTGTTCCTGACTTCTTGCCAAGTAATTTCTGCTGCAACGTGGTGTTTGGAAGATAGTGGCCTGGCAACTCTCCAAGCCTGATAAAGGTCTGTAGTTGTGAAATCTCATGAAAGACTGTTTGCTGGAGAGGAATTAACTTTAACCTAAGGGTGACCTGGATGATTAAAAATCTTGTTTGTCTGTCTGTTATCACCCACTTGTAAATTTAAATTATGTTTACTAATATGTTAGCACAGTGTCTTGTTTCTACTTTATGCACATACCTATTTTCTACAAAGAAAGATAGTTATGTTTATGGATGAAGTGTTTACATTCAGTACATTTTATATGAGGTTAGATGTTACAGAACACAAATGCTACTCCACTTTCAGAATGGTTAGTTGAAAAGTAATGCCTAATCTATTTCTCTGTTTGCCATTCCCAAATTATGTTTTTAGGTATGAATAAGGAATGGATGAATGAATGAATGAATGAATGAGATCAGTACTAGAAAAGGATAAAATGTTAGGTAACAGTAAATTTAAATTTACTATTTACAATATTAGTTTTAAATGCAGACTTTGTAGGAGAATTCAGGGACGTGGTGGCTCAGTGGCTAAGACACTGAGCTTCTTGATCAGAAAGGTCTGCAGTTCAGTGGTTCAAATCCCTAACACCGCATAACGGAGTGAGCTCTCATTCCTTGTGCCAGCTTCTGCCAACCTAGCAGTTCAAAAGCATGTACAAAAAATGCAAATAGAAAAATAGGAACCACTTTGGTGGAAAGAGAACAGCATTCCGTTTGCCTTTGGCGTTTAGTCCTGCTGGCCACATGACCACGGAGACGTCTTCAGACAGCGCTGGCTCTTTGGCTTTGTAACGGAGATGAGCACTGCCCCCTAGAGCCGGAAATGACTAGCACGTATGTGCGAGGGGAACCTTTACCTTACCTTGTAGGAGAAATAAAGATTGTCTAATTAGATATAATAAAGGATTTTAGAGATGATGCACCATCCTAGATTGATTGAAAAGGTTTGTCACTAGTGGCACTTCGGGCA